CATATATAAACAGGCTTATCGACTCTAATTAAAATATGCAGAGATAAATGTTGCATTACCTGCTGTTTTAATTTTTCATATTAAAATTTTATTTCACATTAAATAAATAGGAAGTTAATTAAACGGCATTAATCGATTTCTCTTTACTCAGAAACGATTCAAACCAACCACCTTTTGCTTTATTCCGCGAAGTAATATTTCCTTGGAACTCTGAACTATGATATAGTCAATAAAAACAATTTTGTGAATTTTTTCCTATAATAAGTTGTACTTTTTATTTCAATTTAGTCAGAAGTGTAAAAAAGACTAAAAAAAATTTAACTTCAATAGTTATAGAAATATTAGTTTGCTACAATGTGCTACGGGCTACGAGTGTCTACGACTGCTACGTTGTAACCGACAGGTCGTAGGCGGAGAGGTAAAATAAGTCATGTGATAGAAGCACGTGAGGTGATAAATATATTTATATACATATGTAAAATATTTTTAATACATATTCATTTTATTTATTTAATTTATACGTATAAGGAGACTATTTTGTTTTTTACAGAAATAGAAGAGAAAATTTTAATTATAAAAGTTTATATATATAGTTTTTAAATATTTATGTCTAAGTACTAAGTACTTTCGTTAAATAATTCATTTTTAATTTCTTTTCTTTTTTATGGAGATTGGGATAAAAAATGATGAAATAATTATTTGAACCAGTTTTAGATGTAATATAACTATAACATTACTTGTATTCTGTGTTTTTGGTATTTATAAAAAAGTATATATAAAATTATATTTAAATTAAAATTTAAATTCACCGACTTGTGTTTTAAGGTGGTAGAGCCTAGCTGGTCAAGCAACTACAGCTAGAACATGGGCTGGCTCGACCGGGGAAGTACCACCCTCTCACAGAAGATCGGCGTGAAGTAGCCTTTATTTCGTTCGCTGCGTTTCGTCCGATGAGTGAAAGATTCGGTTGCCCTTATCCTTTCCCCTTTCCCACCCTTTTCTTCTCCCATCCTTTCCCCTTTCCCCTCTCAAAACACGTCCGCAAAATACTTTTGCGGATATGGGTCCTTCGTCAGGTACGCCATCTGCTTGTATGACCCTTTTGTCTCGAAAAGGTACAATAGCTTAGTTTTTAAAGTAACTAGAACGAGATTGAAGAAGTTAGTAGGTTCGAATCACACTCATGGTTTTTCGTCCATACTATATTTTTTAATGAAAATTATAATTAATGTATTAATATTTTTTATTAAACATTCATAATGAACAAGAAGTCATCAACATCTATCTAATAATTGTAAGAAAACATTGAAAGTAAAAGCTAAATTATATAAAAGATACTATAAAAATATTAAAATATGAGAAAAACTACTCCTTAATGACACATAATGAGTCAGGAGCTGTATATTTATAATGCATATGAAGTCATAACACAACATTAATATTTCACCTCAAAGTTTATTTCAATGTTGGGATTGTATACACTAATATGTGGGATGAATTCACACTTAATGTTCTCGAAACTTTGTTTCATATTACTCATTATCAGTGTTTTTATATATATATATATATATATATATATATATATATATATATATATAATATACTAAATATTAATTCATTTTGTCTGTAGTTAATATCAAATGAAAATATTTTATGTCATTTATTAAATAAAAACTGAAGAAGTTTTTAATATATAGTATTTTTATTTATAAGATCTTCTATATGTTGTATTAGAATATTCCAGAGAATACTATACATATATCTCTTAATTTAAGTATACAATATTATATATGCATATTTTTTATATTGAACTAACTGCAAGAATATTTATTTTTACTTGTTTATAATGAGTTTTCTATTGACGGTTCTCTGTATAGAATTATAGCATTAAATAAATCAATTCACTATGCAACTCTGAAATTACTTTTCAAAAAAATGTAAAGCATTGTATGAAGAAAATATCACTAAACTGTTTTACATTCTCATAAAAACCTTAGTCACTTCAAAATTTATTACCAAATTCAGATTAATATAACATTATAAATAAAAGTTCTGTCAACCAACAATGCAAGTTACTTATATATGTACGTACATACAAACATACAGCTTATGGCTTGTTACTGTGGCACTTAGACTGTGATATCGATTCCAAAACTTTGCAGACTTACACCTGATCATAATGTAGCAGTTTGTGTACAAGTCTGAAATGTACATTATACATAGCTTTATAGTTTAATAGTATACATGTACAATTTCTTAGTAGTTAGTATTTCTCCACACTTTTGATTATAGTTGGCGCTCGTTATATTTATGTCGTGTTGAAATTTCTGCACGAAAAATGCTATTAAATTTACAGTTTTCTATGCAATTTACATATATTTTTATAAAATTAACTTGGATTCAGTAAAAATATAACTTTATGCTCTGATGAATTGTACTTGAACATGCAACTTGTTTTTAAATGTGGACTAAAGTATTTATAATATTCAAGACTGGGACTGTTGCTTGTGAAATATAAAATAAAATTCAGTTTTATTAAAATAAAATAATAAAAGTTTTACATACTGAAATCCTTATATAGTTTTAATTTCAAATGGTTAATACTAACGAAGTATGCAAATGTTTTAGGCAAATTATTTGTAAGATTTCAACGGTGTAGAAATTACTCATTGAAAAAGGTGTTTTAAAGTAAAATTTAGATACAAAACGAAATAAATACAATTTCATTGTAACATAAATATTTTATTCTAAAACTGATTTCTATATAATACTCGTAGAGCTAAAAATATTTATGTTAAAATTATTACAGACTACCCTCGTTATAAAAATAATAAAATAATTTTTAAACAATAATGTTCCTAATATAAATTTGTATATATGTATATTGTTTTTATTATTCAATACTGTAATAGACACTCAACTTAACTTATTCTTGCTATTATTGTCTTGTTATTTTACTCTTACTAAATAAGGTGCGACATCGTAAGCACAATAATATTAGTTTTCAAGTATCATTAAAATATAATTATCCCTTTTATCTGTATTCAAGTTTTAATATGACATTGGAAAAACACGCAATGCTCTATCATTTCAAGGGCGAGGCTCTATGTAGGTCGCTATTGACATCTGTCAATACATTTCCGCCAGAGGAAGGATGGCACGTCATATCCTAGTTTTGAGGCTAAATAAATTAGCTTTCTAATGCACTATTGTGAATAGAATACGGTTGAGAGTATGACAATCAAAATGATTTTTATCTTAGTGATGAACTAACCGAATATATAATAACTAGCTTCCCGCCCGCAGCTTCGCCCGCGTGGAGTTCGGTTATATCGCGTTTCCAAGAGAATCTTTCAAAAATCTGGAATAAAAACTATCCTATGTTCGTTCTCAAGGTCAACACTATGTCTGTACCAAATTTCATTAAAATCAGTTCAGTGGTTTAGGCGTGAAAGCGTAACAGACAGACAGACAAGAGTTACTTTCGCATTTATAATACATATTAGTAGGGATTTGTTCATGTAATTTGACGTTCATTAAAATGCACCTACGTATAAAATGTGATGAATATATTATGAATATTAGAATAAAATCACAGTTATATATAATAAAGGTAACAAAAATATACAACATTCTTTATAAATCAATCTTTATTTTGTAAACGTCAGAGGTCTGTAATAGTCCCCAGAGGCGAAACCGTTTCCAGAATAATAAAATATAATAATGATATTGGAATTGGAAATATTTGACATGTTCTCTAACTATCCGCTATCAATTTAACGGATCAGTTGATTTTTTGAATACCAATATATTATTTCATACAAATCTATCCTTAAACTATATGTGGGTAAATTAATTGCTATGTACTGAAATTAGTTACAAGAAATTTTTAATGAATAAAATATATAATAATAATTTGTTTTAAATTATAGGCCTGAGACAAAAAGCTATAAACGATACGGCAAGGCAAATATAGGTAAGGCTAAAACATTGTGTAATTTATTTAGTAAGACTTTGTTTGGTAAATTTCATATATAATTATAATAGTATTTATTAACTCCATTCCATTACTTCTCCATGGGATTCGGAATCGTTTACAATTCTAGGTTAACTTCAAGTACACACATTACGTAATTATTGTAAGAAGCAAAAGAAATGTACTCTCTTAATGTAATAAGTAGAATTTTCTCTTTAGAAAATAAAAGTAGCTAACAAGTTTGGAAAGCCGGACGCTAGGACATACTAACGAATGTGAACAGTCTTAAAATTTTATACGTTTTCCATTCGTACATACGTGAATGTAATTTATATTTTTATAAATTACTAGATGACCTAGCAAACGTTGTTTTGAAATATAAAAGTAGGGATTGGTGATCAAAAAGTAAAAAATATGATAAAAGATGTTGGCCGATTCTCAGACCTACTCAATATGATCACAAAATTTCATCAAAATCTGTCCAACCGTTTCGGAGGAGCTCTCTGTCTGACACTGCGGCATTAGAATTTTATATATAATATTTTCTTAACTATTAACTTCAATAATATTATTTATATGAATTTCATATTCATTATCAAATGTATTAAATAAAATGTGTCTGTTTTTCTTTGTGTGAATATTTTTAATGTGTATAGACTCACTAAGTATATTTCGTTATTTAATTCACTGTACGCTACCTGTGGCTGTGATCACGATTCTTAGACCGTCTGACTGAAGTGTTTTCTCGTCCCTTCAATTCTATTCAAGTGTACTTGAAGTAAATGAAATACTTTTATATATATTTTTTCAAAATATTCTTCTTTATACACAATCCGTTTTAGAAACTATTAAGCAAATGGACCTTAAGAGTTAAAAGTATGAATGATATGATACAGAAAAGGTATTTTTTTCCCTTTAATACTATTCAAGGACATTTGAAGTGAAAGTGATTTATTGTTCTTACTCCTAACGTATTTTTTACAGCATATTATTGTAACCATCGGCTTAGTCGGGAATATTTTTAATGCAGTCGGTCGAAGGTACATCATTATTCAGCCAAGGTCCAGCCGGGGCTACCTGGCGGTACGGGGTAGTAACTATTGAAGCAGCCATTCGCGCCCCGACCGCCGTCAGTGATGGGCGTACCGCGAGTCACTAGCGCCGCGCCAGCCGAGCTCGAGCTCGGGAGAGCCAGGCGACCCCACCTGTTGATCGTCGACGACTCGAGGCAGGCGCGCGCCAGCGAAGGTTAGTGCCCCACGGTTTTGTTGAACTTTTTTTTTTGCTTATATGTAGAACAATTTTTGTTTTCCAGTTTTCACCTGAGTATTTTATTATTTTGTATTTCGATTACTTTCAAACGTGATCACGGGTAGAATTGAAAGTGTCTACTTTTTTGTATAACTTTTTTTCTAAAGAGATTTCATGGTATTTTTTAAACGTGGCCTCTCATTTGAAGGTTTTATTGAACGATAAATATTATTTAATAGTGAATGCATTTTCATCGTGTTCGTTAATGAACAATGAATGTCTACAAAGGGTTGTCGTATTGCCGAATTAATTTCGAAGCTTTAAAATTTGTTTATCATTGTTTCGTTGGAAACTCTTCATGGGATGTAATTAATTTGGAAATGTAGTGCCTCTGGTGCGTTCGGGCGGTAAATATTTTAATTGGCTGCATTATTATATGGGAGATTAACAATAAACACATTATCGGTGATGCAGAATTTCTTTTTTTTAATTTTATCATTTATTTTAGAATGACGTTGTAATTATTTGTATTTTTTTACCTACACTTTACCTTACAAAAAAAATATGCGTCTAACTTTTAAGTAAAATCTGTTTTAAAGAGTATTACTCACCTAATATAACACTTTTAAGCATAATAGTCACCCAACAAATCTATATAATTTTCTTTGGAACATATGACAAGTGCAGTATTTTTTTTATAATGAAGAAAAAATTTTCTGTTACTAAATATCACTTTTGATATTAATTAAGCAGAAGAAGTATAACAGATCTTTCATATAACATATATTGTACGAAAAAAATCAACACTAAATGACAAATAGGCAAATCTCTCGGGATTTTATCCTTAAGATATATCTTGTCAGAAGATATTTAATAAAAGAGTAATAGAGATACATATTTTAGCTAAAAATAATTATTTTGCAATTTTCGTATGAATTCTCTTTGAATATGAATATAGTGTTAAGACAAATTTACTGTATTTATTTCAATAAAATTAGAATTGAAAAATAATACATCGAAAAAAATAGTCTTAATATTAAAGAAAATTTTGATCTTTTTAATGAATAAAACAGTATGTTATGAGACGAAAAATTGTACATAAAAATATGTTAATATTCTTTCAATTTATTTTACTTTACGCAAAATTTATTTATTAATTTTAAACAGAAGCCAAAAAATTACATTTATATGTATAAACTTATTTCTATTCTGTAAAAAAAATTCAAGTTATAACTTTCGTGCTCATTATTGATATTAAATTTACACAGGCACATTTACATATTTCTTTTATATATATTTGAAGACATAAATCATAACTAAATGATAAAAAAATACGATAAAAAACTAAACTACCGTTTATTCATAATGTTGATTCTACCGGGAGAAGACCAGCTTGAAACGCAGCAGTCTCTATTAAAATTTAAATAACAAAGACCTTAATTAGTCTTTATATCCAACTGTCGTACAATTCTTAATGGTTTAATAAAAAAATATATAGGTTGATAATAAAATTGTAGATGATAATAATGTTAGCTGAGGCGCGGCTTGCTTTATCATTTTAAATAATGTAATGTGATTTCAAAGTCAAACCGAGCTCACAAAACATTTTATTATATCATATTTTATTTAAATTAATTTATAAGGAGCATGTTGTTGTTTTATAGAGTATATTCTTTTGTAGGAAAAAACTAGTGCTGAAAGAACACCAATTCGACAGATCAATAGATAAGTTTAAAATGACTCTTTTGCTGCAACATACGTTATTTTACATGGCCAATTATAATAATTTTATAATTATGAATATATCTGACGTCAGTAATGTAGTTTACCTCGTACAAACATATTCCAAGATGTAAAGTACACAATTTAATTGTGAACACAATCTACAGCCGTGCCTTGTTTGAGCGAACGTGTAATTAATCTCTATGCAAGTTTAAATGTCAATCTTTGTTCTAACTCAATTCTATCAAGATATACGAAACAATTAAAGAAGTCTTGGGTAACAATTAGGTAGTTTTTCAACAAATCTTGAACATAATTGAAACATATATTACAGTGACGAAATATCTTAAACTTCTGCTTATGTTTCGTTCCAGAGTCATTTAGCTTGTGTTGAAACATGGGACATATATCCTCATTAAAGGCTTTGTTTTGCTACAAAAACATCTATTACGTAGTTTTTCTTTCTGTATATTCTCTGTTTTATTCTTGTTTTGCTTTATACGATGGTTTCTAGAACATTTAATTTTGTTTAAATAAAATAAATAATGTTATGGCGAGGTTATTTAATGTTAATAATAATTATTATAAATATAAATAAGTTCGTCTGCGGAACTCCGATAGAACTTATCCGTCGGATGTGTACTTCCCTTACTAATGTTCAAATAGAGTTTGTTTTTTGTGCCAATGTTCTTTGTACTGGGCGCGGTTGTGTCAGTGTTATGAAAAATAAAATATAATTAATGTGAGTATATAATTCAAAGTGAACATATTTTATGTCATATGAAACACGTGAATGTTCTTTTTACACTTAAAATAGCTTTTATTTTTTTTATAAAACCACGCAACGATCCTTCGTAACTGTCTATTGAAGTGGACAAAGGGGTTCCACTGACGCGTTCCATAGAGTTTCACTTTTTAACAAAAAAATACTGTTCTTTTACAGAAGATGTTTTAATAATATTATTTATACCAAAAGGCTGTCATAAATATATTTATACTGTCATATAATTAACGACTTGGTACTTCACTTCTTTTTAATTAAATCGTTTGAGTGTTTAATGAGATTTTTTTGTATCAATTCAAATAACCAGTGTCTAAGACTGTATCAATAATGAAATCTTCTATTTTGATGTTTGTTTAAATTCAAGGATGGCGCAGCTGTCAGAAATATGAATAATTAAACTACTAGATTGTTCTCTCGACTTTACTGAAGATATATTAGTTTATGTAGTGTTATATATTGAAATATGTTATACAATGTCGAGATCTTTTAAAGCTAATTTTAAATGAAATTTTATATATTACTTTTAAACAGACTGTGTATAAAAATGAAATAAAAATTAGGTTTCAATATTAGTACAGAATGAAAGATTTTACCTGATATACTCTAAGACGTTAAAATTATATACATATACTTATAAAAAGGATTTTATAATATATTTGAGTATGTAATAATCTATCGATATAATATTTTACTCTACGCCAGAATACTATGATAGTGGGTTGTATTTACAAATAAAAGCGATTTAATAAGCAGACATTGTGTAGGCGTGGCTGTCGTTGGGGTTCCCTTGTTAGTAATAAGCTCAGTTTCACGGAACACAAAATGGCTGGAATGAAACGAAACAGGATAAGTTTTGAGAAAGATGACATTTGATATTATAATCACGACTATGACAGCGTTTTATTCAGTTTAATTTAATTAAATTGTCACCATAAGTAATATAGAGGAATAAAAGAACGTATTTGATTGATTTTCAGTTAAGTTTGAATAATTTAGACAGTTTAAATTCAAGTCATTTGATGTAATTTAGAAAAAACGTCGATAGTAATCAAAAAGAAAACGAATTGAGAATTTTAAGACAGTCTGTTTGTATGGTAATTAGGTATAGGATGGTTAAGTCTCGATCAGATTTTGGGACAAAACTTGGTAATGATTTAAGTCTCTGAATGAATATACATATAATGTGAGTAATTACGTTAAAGTAATTAAGTAAAAGCATTAAATAGATGTTGTTTGATAAAGCATTACAAATATGCTCAAAATTTATTTTAAATTCAAATATCCTTTAGATTAGGAAATTGTATATATATGTAATTATTAGCTAATATCGTATTTATTGCAAACAAATAAGTTAAAGAAATTTATTAAAAGCATTAAATGAAAGATGTTTGATAAACGATTAGAAGTATTCTCGAAATTTATTTTGAATCACATTCTTTAGAATAGAAAATTGATATATATGATATTATATATTTTTTCGTTGGAAAATCTTTCGAGCTTATGTAAGGAGCTTTCCCTGGCGTTTACCCAAAAGTGCCCTGAGACCTTCGCCGTTATCCAGTGCAAGGTTGCGAGGGAGGTTGCCTCTGACCCACTTCCGGGTCAAGATCAACCGCTGACGTAACGGGCTTGCGCAATGACTGAACAGTCTTCAATGAATATTTGTATGACATAGTACAACGCTCTTAATGGATTGAGATTTTGATATCACATTTTTAACATGGAATGCTATTGAAAATTTCAAATTTAATTTTAATGATAATTTATTCGAAGAACTAAAATTGTTCTGAATAATTCATTTGACATTCCATCCTTGGAAATAATGATGCAGATTGTTCGAATATTTTCACGTGAGATTTCTTTGAATTTTAAAATGCATATTAATTTTCATATGTTTGGTAAGGTGTAACAAACTTTTTTTTTTGTCAAGGGTTCTTATTTGATAGTATGTTATTATTTTGTATATTATTTTTAATATATAATTAATTAAATATCTTTTACATATATAGAGAGAGGTGGACTTACTTTTGCACTGTTTTATAAAAGAGATTTAAATGAGATCCTAGTACGTCACATCTTGTTTTTTATGTAATAGTAATAACTTATAAATTTTTTGAGAGAATAAAAAATGGCAAGTTTTTGTAAGAAGCATACAGAAAGGACCTTTTATATATATGCAGAGATGAGTATTTTTATTTGACAATAAAATATTACGAAACGACAAACTTCCACTTCAATGATTCTTTTAAACCAAGAAAAAAATACGCAAAGAAAGAAAAAACTCTTTATTGTAACAATTTGCCAAACAAAAGCGATTCTTATACGTTGAATTTTATTGAAAATTTGAGTACAAATGAGGTATTATTGTCGTTACAATGTGACTGAAATAAAAATTGAATGGAATTTTACAAATCCAAAATTTATTTATATATATATATATATATATATATATATATATATATATATATATATATATATATATATATATATATATATATATATATATATATGTATTAACAATCCATTTGTTATATTCAATGGCTCCGTTATATATTAGACTTAGGTTCTAAAATTTTGCTATAAAACTTAATTTTATATGTAGGTTTAATTTAATAAATCAGTTGTCTGAACGAAGTTAATTTCATAATTTTATTTGAATGCGTCACTTGTGGATTCTGCTCAATTAACGTACTAATTGAATCACGTCTTGTACAAATGTTTTAGTCTCATAATGAAAGAAATTAATGTTTTTAAGTGGAATAGAAGAATATTTTTAAAGGACATATAATAGAGTTTGTTTAGAAGATTGTGTATATGTATATGTTTGTTTCGCTTAAGCAACTGTCAGTATCATGATAAATATTTGTAATATACATACATATATGTAGAAGACTTTGGTCCTATTTTTATTAATTTTACGTAAAAAATAGGTTATATGAAAAATATTTAGGTACATATATTTATTATGAAACAAAGTTATCAAAGATAATTAGTTCAATAGAAATTTTATCGGTTAAAATCAATCAATGCATAAAATACGACATATCTTTTTCCATGAAATAAATGTTATTGAAATCGTGGGAAATGTACTTTATAATGTAAAATTAATACAATGTTAAAGTACTATATGAAGAAAACAATTCATCATGACATAGGGATTCTTTTATGAAAATTCATATGTATAAGAGATTATATTTTTACTATGGATACTAAGAGCGAGTGAATTATGAGACGTCTTATTTCATTAGAGAAAATCTCTCCCGACTGATATTAGACTTGAAAATAATCTCCGAAATTATTGGATTATCATGAAAAATTACCAAATTGTATTTATTTTTTATGGCAGACACAAAAAACATATGCATATAATCTTTATTTTATACACAAAGAAAAAAAAAAACGCTTACAGTTTAATGTACATTATACTGTATATTTATTAATGAAATTAAGTATTCCTTTAGAAGTATCAAAGGTTATTTACTTTTAATTAATTTCTCTTAAGATTCAACAAGCTCATATACATCAAATACTGTTTATATTTTATTTATACATTTAAGGTTCTTCTTGCGGTTGAGTTATATATTTAGGTAAACAAAACCTCATGGAAAAAGATTTCCACAAATTTACGATTGATTTATTATAACAGTATTTGATGAAATTGGATGTATTGAAAAAATAAACCTTTTTTTGGTTTCGCTATAATATTTTTCTTTGATCTTTATATAAAATCATAATTATCTAATAGATGATAAAAAATAGTCATCCCAATTCTTAACAGTGACAAAATAGTATAAAAAGTTATTTTAAAAATCTAACTTTTATCACGAACGAGAAGTTTGGCAAAGATATTCTCAAATAATATGATTATGGTTACTGTACTGTTCAACAAAAGGGTAAACCTATTTGCTTCGCATTCTCAATAAAGTTTTCAAATCAACAATATAATTAAAGGACTTTGGTTATTAAATTCCTTTGTAAGCGTTATTGCTGTGGAAAGTCCACGCGGTGACCCACTTACATGTCACGGTCAGACGGTTGACCGGTTATCCGGCTGACCAGTTGACCGGTTAATTTATATGACGCACATTATCATTATCATTAATTGAAAACATGATATGGTCGAATTTTTAATTAAAATGCTTCACAATATTTTGCATTTTTAATAGGAACTTATTAAATTTTAAATTATATATATTGGATGTATGTTTTCGTCCTTTCTATAATATGATATATTATATAAAATTTACTTTTAAGGTTTGTCTTGCAATTCATCATGACCTTGATATTTAGGTCAGTAAGTATTGCATTTAGTAGTTGGAAATTTATATATATTTGGGATATAAAAAATATTAAATGTATACTAATTTAGAATAAAAAATATTTGATAATTAAAATAGAATATCACAAGAGGGATTGCGGATATTAAATTGTTATAGATTCCTTTAATGTTACTGTGTTAAAACCTGCTCCTCTTTGCTTACGTCAGATATGACGCGGGTATGACCCAGTTGTATTTCATGGTCATGTCAACCGGGTATGATGCGCGCGCAAGGGTTAAAGTTCCCGGCATCTCGGTACTTAAACAACTTAGGTATTTTTATTAATTTAAATGAGAGATGAAAAATATCTGCTCTAAAAGAATGGGTCCTTGAAAATATTGTGGGTTTCTTTGACCCAGTTGCATGTCATGGCCATCACGTTAAATGGTTGCGCGCGCAAACCCGGTAAAACCGGTGGGTTACATCCGGGCATGTTGTACCCGGTTAGTGTTCGCATTATGACATGTTCTTAATTAAATTTCATATATTTATGTTATATTCTCATAACTTTAAAAACTTTTATAAAACACTACTTCTTCATTATAAATACTTTTAAAAGGCAAACTTTTTATCGACTTTTTATCAACAGCGTCAGTTAAAATGTTTCAGAGACATTTTATATATGAGAACTTTGCTCCTAAAATGTAAATTCCTATCTAAATGTAAATAATAATCATATTAGAAGAAACAAAAATCCATTACCATGTATCATAGATGATAGAAGCACTGTGTCAAAGGTAATAATAAGTGTCACTTGTGACATGTTGATGGAGTGGTAAATAAAATGAAATACAACAAAATAAACGAATCAGCTATCTAATACATCTTATATTTAAAACTAAAATTTATATCACGAAAAGTTAAAGACTTTTGTAACAATAGATCAATTTGTAAAGGAAATTATTTACATTTTTCATTCAATACCCATTACATTGAGTACACAAAACCCTTGATAAAAGTTAGCTAAATAGTTATTCATCATAAAATTTAAAGCAAACAATATCAGAGATATTGGACGCTGTTATTTTCTATGAAACCCTAACGATGTTTAGAAGTTCATCAATCATCACGAATAAAAGCTGTTGCTGAGCTAAAAAGCTAAATCTTCATTTATCTGTTATTAATATTTTAATTAATGACAATCTTTTTGTTGCTTAAATTGCTTTTCGAAATATATAAGCTTTCAAGAATAACTTTTAAGAGTCTTTAGACATTTATATAAATAGGTAAGACTGGATTGTTTTTGTTTTTTACTTGATTTGACATGAAAGTTGTATATCGAGAATGCTAGGAAAGTTTTGGTAATTTTCATATATTTTAGGAAAATAATGGCAATTTTAATCATTCTTATTAAAAACAAAGCGTATCTTTGTGTTGATATTGGCTCAACAATGGGTTAACATTTGACTGAGATACTGAAAGTGATGATAAACATGTCAGATATTTCTAAAAATTGAAGTTTATCATTTTATTGTAATATTTATTAGGATCCAAAAAAGATTTAAGCAAAAGAAAACATTTTTTTTATATAGTTAAATATTATTCATTAATAACAATATTGTAACAAACACTGACCAAGTCTTTGAAGTTCATATTAAATTAATAAATCGCTGCAAGTCTTACTTTTTGTAAATTTTCGTCATCTAAATAAAATTTAAAGATATTATTTTAAGGTATTCCAATGAATGTTTCCGCATATAACGGCTCGACAAGGGCGGATCTGGAGTCTCATGAATATTCATGTGTCTTTAATATTCATATCAACCGATGTTAAGTTAATATTTATTTAAAATAAAAGTCAATTTCATGACCATTATTCATGTTGTTGTGTTCAATGTTTCACTGTTTGTACAGTACTGTTGTCATTTCACATTCAGTTTTTATAATTTACATGATATAATATTTTTATTGGATATTTATTTATTGATTAGAAAATATGGTGTTAATATTGTTTGTTTTCTTTTATATTGTTAATGGAAAGATACTAAATACTTTATTCATTTTGTTCTACATAGTATTATAGTAATTGCTTCTACACAGATATGTTTTTCTAAAGAACTTATAATATAGGAACGAAAAGGGAAGAAAAATATAATTTGCCTTTAAAAGAAAAGTCGAAGATGCAATATTTTCAACTAGTTAATAATGTCCAATTGTTTTTTGAAGTTTATAGCAACTTTTTTCAGTTTTAAAGGTGTGTTATATTTAAAAAGTTAGGTCAAATTAATAAGAAAAACCTCTTAACTGTCCTATCAGGACATTTTCTAAAAGTAATATAATAAATTATAAACATCATAGCA